AAAAACTAGGTATAATTATTCAAAATAAACTCTATTACAATTGAACAGCGAAAACCAGCCAGGAATTACAATATAGACAAAATAAGGGGCTAATCAATTCAAGAATAAAACAAGATATTAATGCAAATATGTGCAGTTTACTAAAGCTTGGTAGTAACAAGGTGCAGATTTAATGAGGTGAATCAAGAAGAAAGCCACAAAGATATTCAGCCAGCTTGGGCTTCATAAAATGATGTTACGTTTAGTGAATATGGTCACAGGCACTTTCATTTAAAATGAAGGTCCCCCTAAGAAAACAGTTATGGATTTAGCATGATCACAAAGGAGTGGTGTAAGAAGACTGAATATAGAGCATAATAATCACAGATAGTGAAGTCATTTTTTCCCTTTCAATTGTTGAAAACGCCTGGAAAGGTCATCAAATCGTAATTCGTCGCTTTCGTCTTGGTGAGAAGAGCTGGAACTAGTCATCCCACTGACACCACCTTGGCCTCCCATATTGTTGGTTGAGCTGGTGGGTACGCTTGGCAGGATAGGCAGAACGAAGTCCGGTGGAGCTACCGGATCAGTCGTAGGAAGTGGAGGAGGCAATGAACTAGCTGTGAGCAATGACGGCGGTTTGCCAGATGAACTGACAGTAGGATATGGCGTTTTGAAGTCTGTTTGAGGATAAAAGGTGATGGGTGAAGGCTCGTAAGCAGGTGGTAGTTCAGAATCTATATATAAGATAAAACCAGGATATTTAAGAAACCGAAGAGAAAATATCAGCGAGGCACATGTAAATGATAAAAATCCATATGAATGCCTAGGAAATAAATCACAAAGCGTGCAAACTACTTGTGATGAGAGCTTCGGGAAACGGCCCTTGCCAGACTTGACTACAAAGTTCTTGAAATATTAGCCTTTCATAAATGCGATTGTTGGACTATAGGCATAATAAGTGATGCACTTTTAAATCAGACTGCTGATAGGAATTATGGGATAAAGAGAAAGTTATTCAGTTTTCCGGAGAACGGGAGTTGCATTCTTAGAGCCAATAGCGTTTATAAGGAATAGCAAGGAGATATGCAAGCTATTTATTTGCAATCGTTGTTAGGTATTTGAGTTCTTGACCGAATGAACATTTATTAATTTGTACGTTAAATACTTACATTGCCGTATAATCTAAGATTCACATAACAATACTTTGGCTGTTTATGTACAGATAGGAGGGCTTGACTAAAGGAATCTGTTTAGTTAAAAAGGTTTTATTTTATGACAAATTAGATAGTTATTACATCAATAGCCCAATAAAAGTTCAGCATGTACTAAATTCTCTTGATGTGCATTCTAAAAATGGAGAAATCACATAATCTGATCATCATGACCCTTAAACCCAAGGTTGACGATACATATTAATAAAATATTTCCCACGGCTAAATTTGGCTCGTTATTTTAATATTCTAGCTATCAGCTGATCCTTTGATAGATACTTCAACGACACCACTAATCCAGTACAACACCTAATTCGTATTAAATGATGTATGAGAATAATGAGGTTTCACCTTGAACTATACCTCTTGTAGCCAATATTCAAGATGAGATCAGTTCGCTTTAGACTCAATTCTAATAATTTATCTCACTTTTTTATTTCAAAGCAACTTTTGGTTCTTTGTGGATGCTTTCGCGACTCCCTTTTTGTGGCTCCACATATCGATGACAAACTTGCTCTTATTATTGTATAAAATAGAAAACCAGAAAGAGGAGGCAGATAAAAAAGGTAGCAATACGAATATAAGGTCAAACTTTTATAAGCAGTTAAATGTCGCTGATGGTTGGAGAAGAAGTAAGGTAATCTAGGACCATTGCGCTCCCTGTGGTGAAAGCATTCTGGCTCGAAAATTCGAT